TTTTTATTGTTTTTATTGTGTGTATGCTGGGGGTGGGGAGTGGGGCTTGTGCATGTGAACGCAGGTACCTGCTGAGGCCAGAGGTGTAGGATCCCCTGGAGCTGGAGTTACAGGTGGTTGTGAGCTACCCTAGGTGGGTGCTAGGAACCAAACTCAGATTCTTTGAAGAGCAATATATGCTGTGAACTGGAGAGTCATGTCTCCAGTCCCTGCTTTTTGATTTCTGGTTGAATTTGGTGGTGTGGTTTGAATCCTGGGGTGACTGAGTCTCACTGGCAGCTGGTGGTACCTGTATGTGTTGCATTCTTCCTGCTCCTGGGCCTGAGGGTTGTTCTCTGGGGGAACAGGCGCTGCAGCACTGTCTGTTTCATGCTTCCTTATGTCTGTCTGCTCTGCACTCCATAGGTTCAAAGTCTCTTCTCAGGGTTTGAGTATTTATGATTAACCTCTAGTCTTTAAGCTGTGTCTATCACCAGTGGTAAATAGCTCTTGTCCCCAGAGGTTTCTGCGTTTAGAACCTAGTATTTTTACAGCTGCCTGTGAGCAGTATTGGTGTGCCTATGCTATACCTCTTTAATTCTTTATAATTGTTTCGTGTGTGTGTGTGTGTGTGTGTGTGTGTGTGTGTGTGTGTGTGTGTGTGTACGCGCGCGCGCGCGTGCGCGTGCGCATGCACACGTATGTGCGTGTATCTCACTATATAGCCTGGCTTGCGTAGTCTCATTATGTAGACCAGTCTGGCCCCAAACTCACAGTACCTGCCAGCCTCTGCCTCATGAATGCTGGTATTAAATGTGTGCACAGCATACCCAGCCCTTTACTCTGCTGTCTTCTTCCTATTTAAGTGCATTCTTGAGCACACTGTAGTTTGCCATCCTCATTTATTCATTTGATAACCTCTGCTTTATCATTAGAGACTAGACCAGTAAGAGTTGTGTAATTGTCCATGTGGCTGAATTCTACCATTTGGCCTGATGTCTGGTTATCTCATCTTTTTTTTTTTTTTAGCTTTCCATCCTTTCTTTCTTTGGGTTACTTGAAGTTCTCCAATATTTAATAGGGGTTGCTGTAGGTTATGACGTGCATTGTTAGGTTGCCCGGGGCTACTGTGACCAGAGTGATGTGTTCATGGTAATAGGAGACATATTTTTCTCCTAGGACTTTTGTCGTTGTCGAATTCATTTTGTGGCAGCCCCACCCAGTTATGTTCTTTCTACTTTCAACAGTCATTGTTTATTTTGTTTTTTGTTATTTTGTACTAGCTGTGGTTGTTGCTGTGGAGGCTGGTGCTGACCAATGCTTTCTGGTCCTTGTGCCCTCCCTGATTGTGAAGGACTAGCAGTTCACAGTGACCATGCAGTGTTCACACTGCAAAAAGATAAGAGATTCTTGATATATTAAGGGACATATTTTTTTTTTTTTTTTTGGTTTTTCGAGACAGGGTTTCTCTGTGTAGCTTTGCGCCTCTCCTGGAACTCACTTGGTAGCCCAGGCTGGCCTCTAACTCACAGAGATCCGCCTGGCTCTGCCTCCCGAGTGCTGGGATTAAAGGCGTGCGCCACCACTGCCCGGCAAGGACATATTTTTTAAAGGACATTTTTGTGTATGTATGGGGTTGGGGGGGAACATGCGTGTATTTTAAGTGAAGGTACACAATGAGACCAGAGGAAGATGTCTGTTTGTTTTCTTCTCTTCTTTCCTTATCCCCATGACACCGGGTTTCTCACTGAACCTGAAATTCACCATTTTTTTGGCTAGACTGGTTGGCCTGTAGTGATCCTCTTCTCTTTGCCACCCACAGTGTTGGGGCCACAGGTGCACATAGTCATGCTCAGCTTTAAAAAAAAATTACATTGTGTCTGTCTGTATATACAAGTATGTGTGCTATACTCATGGTGCCATGTGGAGGTCAGAGGACAACTTGTGGAAGTTGATTCTCAAGTTCTACTGTGTGGGTCCCAGGGATTGAACTCAAATTATCAGGCTTCATAGCAAGTGCCTTTACTCACTGAGCCTTCTTGCCGATCAGCTTCCACCTCCCCCCTCTTTTAACACTGGGACTCACTGGACCAGCTCCCCAGCATATACATACATACATATACATGCATTTTTAATATATATATATTTATTTACTTTTGGTTTGTTTGCTAATTGATTCATCGATTGATTGATTGATTGACAAAATCTCTATAACCCTGGCTGTCCTGGAGCTCACTCTGTAGACCAGGCAAATCTCAAACTCACAGAGATCTGCCTGCCTTTGCCTCCCAAGTGCTTGGATTAAAGGTGTGTACAACCTCACCTGGCCTGTATTTATATTTTGAATGGGGTATCACATATTCCAGGCTAGTCTCATACTGGTTATTGCTATGTAGTTGCAGTTGAACCTGAACCACTAATCCTCTTGCCTCTGCACTCCCTGTATCCAAGGGTTACACCTAGTTTTATGTGGTGCTGAGAATTGAACCTAGGGTCTTGTGAATATTAGACACTCTACAGACTGAGTTATACCAACCCCTTCCCTTTTTGAAGGGACAGGATTTTGCTATTTATTCTAGGCTGGCCTGGAGCTCACTATGTAGCTCAGACTGGGCCTCAAGCTTTCAGCAGTCTTACCTCAGACTCCCAATGTTATTTATTTGTCGACATTATTTACCAGGCTCAAGAAAACATGAGGTACAACGGAACCTATCTAGAAGAGTTTTTTTATTAGGGAAGAGAAAGAGTGGGCGTGGGTAGGCCTACCGAAAAGAAAGGTGCTGGGGGTGGGGGATGTGTGCTACCTCTGGTGAGAGGGAGAGAGCGGGAAGGGGTAGAGCCTGCTTTGATAGGTCACCTTGTGCATGCATATGTATATGGCTTATGTGGCTACGCCACACATGCACATAGATTACCTGATCACACTGCATGCAGATTATGTGACCACGCATGCACAGGTTACGTACGTAGGACATAAGGCCCTGGAGTGACTAAGCATTTTGCCTGACTGCTAACAGCACATGCAAGGTCATGTGACTCCGGAAGTGGCTAGGAATACTAATACCCAAGTGCTGGGATAGCTTTGTGCACTACCTTGCCTAGCTTAGCTTTGCTCTTGTGTAATCTTAGCAGTGTCTCAGATTTCTAGGTGTCCCTGGTCCCATTTGCAGCTGACTGCACTTGCACATTGCCAGCTGCATTTTCCCACCCACCTGGTAACTCTCGTAGTGATTTTTATAGACTGGGTATGAATTCACTGAGCCTTGGTTTCCTGGAAAACACTTAATAGACTTTTTTTCAGGTCCTACAGCTGGATATAGACAGTGGTTAGCAGTCTCTGTCTTTGGATGATAAAGATGTTGCTTCTTGATTGCAGGGTGGGCATTGGGGGCTGAGATGACAGTTTTTGTCCCAATTATGTTTTTAAGGTTAGTACTGACTCTTATGGTCAACGCTACTTCCCCCTCAGAAGATGGGGTGTGTGTCTCGTATCCTCCCAACCCCCTTCCCGTCTGTCTCTCAAGCCCACTCTGGGGCTAGCTGGTGTGCTCTCCCCTGCGCTTTCTGGGCCACATGGCTCACAGTAGATGCTTGGTTTGCTTTGCCATGGTTATTCTCCTTGATTTTGAAAAATAATGTATATTTTCCTTTAAAATGCCCATTCTATCAAAAATTTGAAATTAATTTACATTTTAGGCACAAAGATAGGATTTTATGTAGTACTTTTTAAATAGTTTTGCTTTCTTTCATTGTGTATCTGAGGAGGACCTTAAACTTCTGATCTTTCTGCCTGCACTTCCCAAGTTCCGAGATTACAGGCATGAGCCACTTCACCCAGGTTTTGTTAGTGGCTTTACTCTCTTTTAAAAATCTGACTGTTGGGTTGGTGAGATGGCTTATCAGATAAGGATACTTGCTGCCAAGCCCGCAGACTGGAGTTTGGTCCTTATCTGCATGGTAGAAGGAGAGAACTGCTTCCTGCAAATTGTCTTCTGACCTCCACATGTGTACTGTGGCACTGTGAGCACAAGTACATGCACACACATAGAGATTGACAGACAGACAGACAACCCAACTGACTATGTGCACCTGTGGCCTTGCCCTGGCTGGGGCAGAGGTAAGCAGTTGTGAGCCGCCATGTGAGTGCTGGAAATGAAGCCCAGGTCCTCTGTAAAAACAAGCGCTTTTAACCACTGAGCTGTCTCTGCAGCCCCTTTATCTTATTTTTAAAGAGATTTTCTACCTTCTTGATGTTCCGTCATTCACATATTGTATTTTTGTTTGTTGATGAGCCACTCAGTACTGCACATTTCCACCTGACTGTCACTCTGACCACTCCTCCAAGTATTAATGTGTATTTTTACAAAGTCTGCTATTACACAAATGAAGAAATTACATTGTGTGTGTGCATGATGGATGTGTGGGTGCACATGTCGGCATGCTGTAGTCAGAGAACAACTCTGTGGAACTTGTTCTCTCCTTCTGTCTTTATGTGGGTTCCGGGGATAGAACTCCAGACACTAGACTAGAGTGCTGAATTATCTCACTGACCCCGTAGTTGGATACTGTCTTAATTTCAAGAGAGATTACTTAAATCTGTGGTTTTAAGGGATTTACAGCTTGGATTTTATAACTGAATTTTATTTGGTGTTGACTTTCTGTGGTCAGAGGAGGTGTGACCCAAGATTAGGTAGATTGTTATGGGTTGTCTGCAGACAACTGTGTTCACAGTGTGCATGGGGTCTGGCCCTCATGATTCCACAGTGGTGAGGGAAGAGCCTTACTGGTATTTGGAGACACAGTGGTTTCTTTGCAGGAGCAGGCTGACCCTGTGACTCATGGCAAGTTTTGGGTCACGTAGAATCCAACTGTTCTGCGTCTTTGTAATTGGCCTGATGGCACCTGTGTCTTAAGAGTTAACAGCAGGTGCTGTGGGATCTCCTGGTGATGAAATGGAGATATAGGGGATGACATGGGGGAGCAGTGGCCTTCCTTCTTAATGCATTTTTCTTCTGCCTTAGGTAAATCTTAAAATGAGAGAGATAACAGAAAAAGAAGTTAAATTAAAACAGCAGCCACTGGAAAGTCCCGCTCATCAAAAGGTAAAGAGTAATTTTAATTTCTTCAAAACACATTAAGTTAATATTAGTAGTTTTTTATATGTCTGTTTCGACTTGATCATTCTGTATTTTTATCATCCCAAGCAAGCCAGCCTCTTAGATTATCCTGGTGGCTGATTCTCAATGCCTCAATTAGGAGTTACCATGGGCAGCCTGTCTTCTATCCCTCACCCCCAAAAAGGGCTCATGGTTTGTTGAACAGGGGTGTTCTGGGAGGACTTGGGAGGTTCAGTAATGGAAGTAATGTAGCCTGAGCTCTGGGAGTGAACTTCTGAAGGTAAGAGATTGAGCAGAAAACGCCCTGTAGAAGCTGTGCCCTGAAGATTCTTGAGATGGCCTGATAGGTGCCATGAGGCCGGCGGGGGTCTGAAGCCCAGCGCCTGGAGCCAGTGGAAAGTGTGTACCTTGGGAAGGGTGCAGATGGGTGCGTTTCTTCCACATTCTGGCTTTGGCCTCATCCCTGGCCATTTTCTCTTTTGTCAAGGCATGTGTCACAGTCAGTGGTGTGTACACAGGAGTGCCTGACTGTCGACACAGTTTTACCTCTGAGAGCAACATGTCTTCTCCCCTTGTGGTTTTCTCTGTACACTGGCCAACTCTAGTCAGTCCGTCGGGTCGAGTGCCTCCTTAATCCTTGGGTGGGACAGACACACATGGGCATAGACAAAGGGAGCAGACCTCTAGCCTGGTCCCCTGACTTTCTCAAGTTTGAAACTATTCTTTGCCATTTATGAAGGATAGAGTTGTGAAGGGGACAAGTTATCTTCCAATTGAATTGCCTGGTATTGTGATCAGCTGAGGTCATACACACGGGAAAGCCTTTGCTTCCCAGAGACTATCTCCACCTCTTGCGTGTGAGCGTGTGTGTCATGGCCACACCTGGACCTGCAGTGCTGACATTCCTTTCCACCTTCCTTCCTGCTTCCTGAGCAGTCTCCCTCCAAGTGGTATTGGAAGTTAGTACCCGTAAGTGACTCAGGCCACCAGCCGCAATCTGCAAAGCCATCTTGTTGCCATCATGCGCTTCCATTAAAATTGCTCGCACCCAAGACTGGGTTTTTGTTTGTTTGTTTAAATGTCCACCTGGGGGTTGTGTTACATCTTCTTTAGCATGAGCCCTGCTGGCCACGCTGATGGGCTTTGTTATGTGGCACTTTGGAATGCCATGTCCATGTACCCCAGGTTCTAAGTGATCTCTGAGTGACCAGTGTAGCACAGCTGACAGGACACTGTTGTTCCTAGTAGACACCAAGAGGACTGATAGTGACCTGGTGGCTGGCATCAATCCTTAACCTTTTTTTCCTGCTGTTACTTTGCCTGAGGGGCGGTATCCAGCATGACCTTCCCTAGTACCTGTGTTCAAGGCTGTCAGGTTGGGAAGGTGTTCTCCTACTGAGGGCACAGGCGGACTGCAGAGAGCGCTCCTGCTGGTGTGTCTTGATGTGGTCTCCTTTTGCTGCCCCTTAGGCCTATATGGAAGTCAACTCAGATTCTGCAGGCTGAGTTAGGTCAGTTCAGATGCAGGGCTTCTGAAATAATGAGTTTTCACACAAATTTTAGAAACCAGGATTTAGTTTAGTAATTCTAGCAGTACCTGACAGGTGCCCAATTCTGGAAGTGGACCAGTTTGTCACTACCTTTATAGGAAATGCCTGGTGCCAAGTGGTACCTTTTCATGTGAACTTTTGGGCACAGATCTCTTTGTAGATGTGCCCTTTGATTGCTTGGGTCCTGTAGCTTCATTATTTGGCCTAGATTGTCCTTTGGGTTCCCACCTGAGGGCCCCATGTAAACTTAGGTTGTACTTCCTGATGGTATGTTAGTGAGGAGGAGGAGGAGGAGGAGGAGGAGGAGGAAGGCATGCTTAATGAGTGTTTGAGTCCTGGGTTTGACCAAGGCAAGGGCTCACACACTCAGGCGTCAGAGGTTTGGTTTCAGATAAGTTTCATGAAAAAAAGAGAAATATAACCAAAAGCAATCTCCCTTAACTTTCCTTTGTTAGAGAGGCTATGGGTGTCCTGCAGTGGTGTTCAGTAACTGGACCAACAAGAAAACATGTGGTAAAGACTGACAGGTTATGGGTCTTATCTAAACATATCACAGCTAGAAGTTTGAAGATGTGAGTGAGCAAAGCAGTCATGTGAGCCTCCTGGGCCCCTGTAGTTCAGTGTCAGCCTAATTTTTACCCATGCCATCCATCTTTACTCAAAAAACCATTTGCTTTACTGCATGCCTGCTCACTCCCTGTCTGCTCTCTCTGTGAAAGCCTGGCCTGGAGCATGCTGTGATGCACTGCATGCTGGAACCTGTGGACTTTGCACGTGTGGTACAGTATGAGGAGGGTTCCCTGTGATAGTATGTGTCATGGGCTCTGAGAAACAAGTTAAAATGTGTGTTGGAACATACAGTCAACACAAAACAGGCCTTGTTGCTAAATCTAAGGGAGTCGGTTCCAAGTGTTCTGATGAGCATCACTACTGGTTACCAGTATCTCTAGAGGCATCAGCTTGCAGTTTAGATTCCAAGATGATTTTTTGATTTGGACTCACCTGCAGAACTCTCAGAAACCAACAGTTCTTGTTATAGGCAGGTGCTGGCTTTCTTTTTAGTTTTGTTGTGTATGTGCCCTCTCTGTAGAAAATTTGGCTGTTGGGTCTCCTGCCCTGGGCACTGATGCAGGCAAGAGCAGTACACTGCAACTCTTGGGGCGTTGTCTCTGCACTGAGCAGTCCCTCTCAGCTAAGTTCTCTCTGAACGTGGGCGGAGAGGCATGGGCTGTGCTTCTTAGAATACCGACAGGTAGCTTCCTCGGGTGTGCACATAAGGGAGCCTTGGCCTAGCATTTGCTTGATGATCTTGTGGGTTTTAGTACTGATGTTTCACTTGTAGTTCTTGGTGGCTGGTGTAGTAGTGTGAGAAATTTTGTTTAACCTGGTTTCTGAAATTTCTCAAACTATCAATTAATGCTATTTTGTAATTCTTAATGACCAATGTTAATATTGATAATACTTAGGAAAGTGCCTGTAGCTTGGGTCTTTCAAGCTCTGAATGCTCACTGTTTAACTTGTTTCTCATTAGTTTGTAATGCATTGGCTTATGATAGTATAGATATGCGTTTTGTCTCCTTCCCATGTGTACCCACTGCCAGAGTCAGTTTAGAGTTAGACTGGCCCTGGTGGTGTTAGCAGTGGATCTCTGCCATCCAGTGTACCCATGGGCCCCAGTCCCTGGATCTGACTTGTTTGTTCTGGACAGAGGGTATCATCCACACAGTCTGAACTTTTCCAGGCAATAAGTTGGTCTTCATGTGGCTCTAGGCTTGGTGTAAATCTTGCTCTAGCAGTGTGCCTGTAACATACACAGGGTGAAGCGATCTCACACGCAGAGACCATTTTCCTTTTATCAACTGCAGGTCCGCTATCGGCGAGAGCATCTTTCTGCTAGGCAGTCACCCTACTTCCCGTTGTTGGAGGACTTGATGAGAGACGGCAGTGATGGCGCTGCTCTCTTAGCGGTGGTTCACTATTATTGCCCAGAGCAGATGAAACTGGATGGTGAGTGGAGAACGAACGCTTCCCCTAAACAGACCTGAAAGGGACCAGTGTGCATTTCACATGCAGGAGAAACCCAAGGAATTAGCACGGAGTCCCTGTGTCAGTTGGGATACTAACCATGTACCTAGAAATGCCCAGACACCAAATACTTATTCGTAATCTGCATCTTATGTGATGTAGAGAGTGCCCACTGAGTATTTGGATAATATGTCATTGTATTTTGTGACTTTACCTCTGTTTCAGAGTGAGTGAGATTTAAAATCCTTCCTTATTGAAACATTTAGAGCCTAAGCCAGATAGGGTGGCACTTGCCTTTAGTTCTGGCATTTTGTAGGCTCTTAGGACCAAGATCAGCCTGGGCTGCATAAATGAGACCCCTGTCAGAAACTAAGGGCAAATAACTTCTGAAGACATGAGAATGAATGGTAGATTCAGTCTGTCTCCTGCCGTGGCCTGATGCCAGAAAACCTCTTTCTGGGTGCTTGTGACCTGTAGCAGGGAGGAGGAAAAGTGAACGGTTGTGAAGGGCATGGTACAGAGCTGCCAAGGTGCTATGGACGCACGAGCTGTCAGTGGCTCGATGTCCGAAGTCTGGAGTGGGCAGGTAGAAGGCCAGGGGCCCGACCAATGCCTGCACTGGGACATTGTCTCAGACGTTAGACCTGGACAGCTTAGGCTGTTGTTATGTCTACTCCAGGCATGGAAGTGCAGATAATACATTTTTTACAGACACAGAGGTGACTTGAAAGACAGGGAAAGGGGCTGGAGAGAGATGGTTCAGTGGTTAAGAGCACTGGCTCTTTTCCAGAGGACCTGGGTTCAATTCCCAGCACCCACATGGCAGCTCACAACTGTCTGTAACTCTAGTTCCAGGGGATCTGAGACTGTCATACCAATGCACATAAAATAAATTTGAAAAAATTATTTAAAAAGTAAATAAATAAATGTCTAGACAAACAGATGTGGACTAGGTATTGAACAAGTGAATAACTACTGGAACCATAGAACACAGCCTGAAGTGTTCTGTAAGGGAGGCAGAGGCCTTACATGTGTATGTCTGAAAGCAAGGAGCTTAGTAATTAGTGAACTAGGTCCATTTCAGCAGCTTAAAAAAACCTGACACAATCCCAGAGGAAAGTAAAGGGAAGAAAAAGGAAGTTTTGTGACTGTCTGTAGATTGAACAACTGAATTGTAAGTTCCAGGCTCTAAGGAGCTAGCTAGCCAGAGAAGCAAGACAGTTCACCAGCTAGAATTCTAGAGCTGCCACAGAAAGGTAGAAAGACTTTGGCTAGCAGCCATGCCTGGGGGTGTCTTTGAAAGTCAGTTTGAAGAACAATGAGAGCCTGGGTCCCCCTTGCTTCCAGCAACACCTCCCATGTCCAAGGCCTGGGGATATGAACACACTTGGGGGAGACCAAGCCTGTAAGTCATGGTCTCAGACTCCAGCTTGGGGCAGGCAGGGGTGAGGTGACCAGAATCAAGGCTTTTGTGTGAGCTTCTTCCAGTCACTGGTACCAGTAAGCCTCACTTCCTTGCTGGGTTCCACAGGCTTATTTGCCCCACCTGCAACTCAGGGAAGTCTTCTTGCAGAAACTGGTCTTAAGGACAAGACTCACAGTGACTGAGGTTTGCCATCAGCTGGCTTCTTGCTTTGGTCACCTACAGCAAAGCCCACTTCCTGCTACCTCCCTCTAATAGTGAAGGGGTGCCCAGACACCCCTGACATTTGAGGAAATCCCCTGACTGCAGCTATAGTTCAGAATATACAGCAGTAAGAGGCTGGGGACCTAGAATGAGTACTGGGAAGGGGCGTCTAGAAGACTGCCATACAGTGTGTCCACATTAGGTTCCATAGACTCTGAGAAGTGTGCATTTTGGTGTCTGAAGTGTAAGAGTCTATTAAAGAGTTAGATGGCTGTGTAGAAAAAAAGAATCTCCCAGAAAAGAGGGGGTGGGGGAAGCAGAGGCATGGAAGTAAAGGAGAAACTAGAAAAATGAGATCTATATAGGAGGAACTAACAGAAAGAATAGAGAGGATTTAGCCAAGGGAAGTGTCGTTGCCCCTGGATGAACATAGGCAAATTTCAAGAATCCACTGGATGTGTCTAGTTGAAGGACTGCGGTGGTAGACATTCTAGAAAGGCCCCAAATAACTTAGTGGGAAGACAAAGCAGGTTACACAGAGTGGGGAACTGTATGACAGCGGCAGATCCCTCGGCCAAGTCCTGGAAGCAGCACAGCATGCTCTTTCTGTCCCTGCTGCCTCTGCACTCCAGGTTGCTGCAGAGAGGCTACATAGAGCACTTCATTATCTTTGCAGAGTTTAAAAGACATTGTATCTTGTTGAAATAAAAATTAAAAAGTAAGCTGGGCACTGGTGGTACACGCCTTTAATCCCAGCACTCAGGAGACAGAGACAGACAGATCTCTGAGTTTGAGGCCAGACTGGTCTACAGATCAAGTTCCAGGACAGCCAGTGCTGTTACACACACACACACACACACACACACAAAACTGTCTTGAAAAAGCAAAACAACAAAAAATTAAAAAGTAAATTTAGTAGTAAAATAACAAAGTAGAAACATTTTAAATGTTTTGAAGAGAAACTGTGTAAAACTAAAAGCTGTTCTTTTGACAGATCAATAAAATAGATAATTTTCTGGATGGATGAGTCAATAAAACAGGGCAAAATAAAGAACGCAGAAAACAAAATGACATAAATTCAGGTCTAGTAGACATCAAATAAAAATATGAAGAGTATGCTATGCTGTGTATGTTCAGTGTTATGTGACACAGACAGTTCTGTATTGGAGAAAAAGGAATGGGAGAGCTAGAGACATATAACTACAAGACCGATGGACTCAGACATGAAGAAAGAAGTACATACATCCTTGTGGGATGACTTTTTGTGAGAACTTTTTGCTGGGGCATTTACCAAACTTTTAAGGAATTGACAGTTTCTATGGTTTATAAATTGTGTCAAAGAATAAGGAAGATGGGATGCTCCTGGTCTTTGTATAAGAGGATTATCCCTGACACACTGGGAAGAGGACCCCCAGAAGACAGTTAAGGCTGGCTTGTCTTGTTAACACAGATTGAAACCTTGTGTAAAATGTTGGAAGACAAGACTCTAACCTTTGTACCTACTTTTACACAACTGACTTAGTAGGTGCAGTTCCCGGTCTGCCAGTGATGTTAGTCTACCCGGTAGTGGCTGTGGTCTCCAGGCTGCCACAGCTGGGGACCAAAGCATGGGCAGGAATAGTCCTTTGTGTGATGTAGGTTGACTGGGACAGAAGCCCTGGAGGAGGAACCCAGTAAGTCCTAAACTTTTCTGTAGTTCTTGGAAGAGGCTTCACATTCTTAGATGTGGAGAGGCTGTATCCCAAAAATGATAATTTCTTAACTGTTCTGTAATATATATAGATATATAGATATATATCTATAGATATATCTATATATCTATATCTATCTATCTATCTATCTATCTATCTATATATATATTTTGCCAGTCTAGTAAATACTTTTGTTTTTTACCAAGATTGACAGACAACATGGGCAAAGTTGTCTCATTTTATTTTGGCATAAATTTAATATGTAGCAAACAACTCAAGGAATTTGTCTTTTAAATCTAACCTTCCCAGGGTACTACTTCTCATGTTTATGTTTGGAGTAGATTAGGGAACAGAGGCTTTCCTGGCAGCACTGGTGTGTTTATGGCTCAGGAACGTCCTGAGGCACACTATTTGAGACCTTGTCCAGGTTTGCCACTTGTCCCAGCGACGTCCTTTTACCCTGTACTCACTGTTTTCAGTTGTCAGGCCTTGAAGTCTTCCTGAAGCCACAGTGTCCAGCCTTTGCCTTTCTTGATTTTCAGGCTGTTGAGTTGGCCCATTGTCCTTTGGTTGGTTGGTTGGTTTGGTGTTTCCTTATGATGTGTCTGCCTCAGACTACAGTGTACATCCTGGCATCCATGCCCACTGTGCTCTTGGTCAAGATGGTGTGTGCTGGCCTCTAATCTTAAGACCCCTCAAGAGAAGTGATTCGTGTTTCATGATTAGCTGACTGCTTTGTGGGGGAGGCCTTTGGATTCTGGATCTTCATTTGTCATCTCCCTCCTCATCCAATTTTCACCACTGGAGTTTCCAACCTCATTTCCTGTTTCTTGTTTCTTAGCGGGCATTCTGCAGTGTCTTCTCCCTGCCAGCACATTGGTCTGTTGATTCATGGATTGAACTCTCATTATGATCTTATCACCTTAATAGCTTATGTTAGATTCCATTTCTCTCATCATACTTATTGCTTAAGTCTTCACAGATTTTAGCTGCATTAATTTTGAAGAATAAGAACATGGGGTCCTTGTTCAACTGTTAGATTTTGTTTGATTTCACACTGTCTGGAACTGTGGCTTTGGCTCAGGACAGTCACTTGGAGCACATAACAGCACACAAACCACAGAAAAGAGATGTTCAGTAGAGAGCTGTGTGTTGAGGGTCCACATAGCTTAGAGGGCAGGGAGGACTGGGCAATCAGGATATTGTGGCAAATAGTATTTCATGACCAGGTGACACTACCTCACTTGATGTTGACACACCCTGTTCTTAGACTAATGACCTAGACTAGAAAACAACATTTGAGATCTTTGAAAAAAAATTTTGTCTTATTTTTGTACTTGAGTGTGCTGGATGAGTACTCTCTGCCCGCCCGCCCTGCCCCCCACCCCTTTTTCTTTTTCTTTTTAAGGTGGCACATATTCAGAGGTTTGCATTATCTCATGATCCCACAACTGCTATTTACTGGCTCCTACTAAGGAGCACCTGGACAAACACTGGAGGCCCCTTCTCAGGGGTCCTTATTTACTGCCTGTACCGCATTTTTCCCAGCGGAGGGTCTGCTCCTGAATTTTCAACCTGAGAGGTTGGAAAGGTCCTCACCTCTTCATAGAGGAGGCATGTACTATGTGTCATCTTGATTTGGAGAATTAGAGACCTCGCTTGACAACTGTAATTTTGTGCATATCCTGGCTCCTACCCTTTGCAAATATGAAATTAACCTCAGGCAGAGTTTCTGCTTGCCGAAGGAAGTTCAAACATTTCTTTAAAGTCATTTTAATATTATTGATATATGTGGGTGTTGGTGCGGTGGCGTAGATGTGGAGGTGAAAGGACGTCTTTGTGGACTTGGTTTTTTTCTACCTTTCTGTGAGTCCTGGGGATTGAACTCAGGCTGTTGGGATTGCAGGGCAAGAGCCTTTACCTGTTGAGCCATCTTGTGGACCCAGAAACACTCTCTAGAAGGTGATGTCCACTGTTCATCTTTTGCCTGCCGTCCTGCTGGGGATGAAGCCCAGTGCCTTGCACACGCCAGGCAAGCGCTCTGCTACTAAACTCCAGCTGCAGCCTGCCACAGTCATTTTAGGAATCCAGTCTCGAACTCTCACAGGATTTATTTTATAAATGCGGGTTCTGGAGATTTCCTATATTTTCTTTCTGTGTTTAATGTCACCTGTGAAACTTACTGTCTTTTAAAATCCTGTAATCTTGCTTACTTTATCACCACCCCTTCCACATAGAGTTTCAGTTCAGAATTGTGTATCTACACACACGCTTGTGAGCAGAATATGCATATCGTAACACAATCTACCTGACTGATTCTACTAGATATTTGCCTGAAGGAGGTGCCATCGATGGCCGACAGCCTGTATAACATCCGGCTTCTAAGGGAGTTTTCCAACGAACATCTGAACAAGTGTTTCTATCTCACCCTGGAGGATATGCTGTACGCTCCCCTAGTGCTGAAGGTAAAGCTGCCATCAGACATGTACTTAAAGCCAGCTGCCTATGAGCAGGTACTTACTGTGCGTGGGTTGTTGTGTGTTTTGTTTTAGCCGAACGTTATGGTTTTTATTGCTGAGCTCTTCTGGTGGTTTGAGAACGTCAAACCAGATTTCGTTCAGCCCCGAGATATTCAGGAGCCGAAGGATGGTGAGTGGCAACTGAATGGTCATAGTTGTTTTCTTGAAAGCCCAAAGGATTGAGGAAGCCCATATATCTGTAAAGACCAAGGTGTCCTGTCTGTCAATGCTTGGGCAGACCAAAAGCCCAAGCTTGCCTTTTCTGTCTATTCATGTTCTAGTCTGTGCTGTTTTTCAGTTTGGTATTTGTAACAGTCTTTGAGGGTCAGCCTATGGCCTCACCTATTAAAACCAATTTTGAGAAGTTCGGTTTCAAGTAAAAGTTGAGTTGTTTTCATGGTTATAAAAGCTATAGGTTCCCTGTTTCTGGCTGATACTGTCATTATAAATAATAGATATATTTCTGTAAAATTGCTATTTCTGTAGCTAAAACAGTGTTACAGCAGAAGAGCAGCCGACCTCCTGTCCCGATTTCCAATGCAACCAAACGCAGTTTCCTGGGTAGTCCTGCTGCCATGAGCCCGGCTGACCTGCCACCACCCACTCAACCTCTCCCTGAAGGCAACCATCGGTACCACCTCCACTCGGAAGAGCCTGAGTGTCTGTGAGTCTGTCGTGTTGCTTTGGGGTCAGTTTACCCTCCTGTTTCCTTTTTACATAGTAGCCTGAGAAATCAAAACTCTCTCTTAATATAGGTAATGCAGAAAGTACCTGAGTAGCTCCTGCAGCTGTCTGTCCTCCTGACTGTTCCTCATCACTCAGTCTTCTCTCTGGAGGCCAGGAGTCTGGAAGCCTCTTAGTTGCAGGGTTTTTAAATACGAGTATTTATGTCATATAATAATCAATACAATTTAAATACATTAAACTGTAGTATGGAAAGGAGATTTCTCCATCGCCTCGTCACAGTGAATTACAGCTTCACAAGTGGTCTCTTGGGGACGAGACTGAGGAATAGTCCAATTTTGCTCTGAAGTGTAGTCTGATAGAATTTAAGAATGAAGGATGCTCATTTGTAAGTAATACTCGTTCATTTGCTTCAGTGAGCAATGGATTTGACAATGAGACAGTAAATGGAACTCTTGAGTGTTTTTTGAGAACTGATTTTTGTCATTAAGACCTAGAATTCAGCTGACTGGATCCAGGTTGATTGGCTACAACCAGGTCGTTGGACATGTGGGATGAAGATGAGAGAGTTTGTTTGGAGGGGGTTTGAGCCTCTTGTGTGGGACTCGGAGGCCTGTGTCTGGCTCAGCTGAGAGAAGATTTTAAAGTGAAAACATAGTTTTGAAATATGGAGAGTGAATTGAGATTTAAGGTTAAAACAATACTCAGAAGTGATTTTGAATGGCACGTGCAGCTGAATGGCTGGTTAGACGCATGTTGGAAAGGACCTCAGCTTTCTCAGATTGACACTAAGGACGCTAGAGGGTTGAGCCAGGAAGGGAGTGTTCAGAAGGCCACAAAGCATGTCAGGTGGTGCTGGGAGTGTTTAAGGGCTGAGACTCACTGACAGGATCAGATCCTTGGAGCAGAAATGGAACGCTGTGTGTGGCTTGAGATGGTAGCATCTCAAGGGCAGAGCTACACAGCCACATGGCTCCTTCTGTGGGTACCTGGGCATTCTTGCCACAGTCTTTGCATCCAGTCCCTGTACTTTGTTATCAGATCTAGTACATGCAGTGTGTATGTGTGCATGGAAGTTGGTTAAAGCAGCATTGGTATCCCATGTGTAACAGTGGCTGTGAAGGCTTTCTCATTCGTCAGACTCTTCCCTTGAATAGCTGTGCACTGTTGCACATCCTGGCTCTGTTCTGTTTGGTTTTCACTGGTCTTTGTGCTGTGAGTGGCTGTAGGTTTGTAACCTTTACTCTCTGCCAGGGCTGGTGGGAGTCTCTCCCTGCCCTCTGCTGGGCTCCTCTGGCTTCACTGTGCCTTCCACCCTTTCTGTGCGGTTTTCCTCCTTTTGTCTCCTCTGTCTCTGAAGGACCTTTCCCTGTCTTTGTCCCTTTGGGCTTAACCATAGTAGCTACAGCCCAGGGTGTTGAATGCCTCTGTGTTCCTGCCCACACTTTCTTACTGTCCCTTGGCCAAGTTCTTCCCCACAGTGCAGTAGCAAACTAGCTGCCCTGCAGGGTAAGTGTGCTTCCTGTTGGGCAGTAGTGCCAGCCCCCATGGGTGTCAGGCTGCTGCAGCGGCACTGAGCAGCGCTCACCTGGTCAGTGCCTGCGCTGCACCCATTGGTCTCACGTGAGTGAGGGTCCTTCCGGCCACAGCCATGAATCTCTTTTACTCAAACCGTGATGGAAGAAGTAGAAAAGGTGTGAATGATTGTGGATTTTTTTTGTGGCTGTTTTCATATTTGGCCTGTAAAATGTATGAGTGCCCTTCTTGTCCATGTAGGGCTCATGCTCAGGTTATTATCAGCATTTTCAGTCAGTTTGATATAGTGGAATCATCTTTGTGGTTCTTTAAACTTCTTATTTTTGTGTTTTTGAGACAAGGTCTCACTATATAGCCTTAGATGGCCTGAAACTTGCTGTGTAGACCAGGCTGGCCTTGAATTCAGAGATCCCACTGTCTCTGTCTCCCAAGTGCGGGGATTAAAGTCGTGTGCCACTACCTCCTGGCTTGTGAGTGTGACATTTTCATACTTACATATCGTGCATTGTTCTTAACCCCACCCCCACCCCTTGCCGGTCCCTTTTGTGGTAGTCACTTGATTTTTTGTGTCATGTGCTACAACCAGAAGTTGTACGATCTCTGTTTGCAGCTTTGGGATTTGTGAGCGTTTGTGTTTGTGTACGTGTGTGCACCTATGTGTGGACGCCAGAGGTGGATGTTGGTGTCTTCTTGGTCACACTCCACCTTATCTTTTGAGATAGCCCAGAGCTCACTGATTTGGCTAGACTAGATGGTCAGCAGTCCTCTCCAGCGCAAGGATTGCAGATACGTGCTGCTCTGCCTGGCTTCCTTATGTGGGTGCTGACAGTTGAGCTCAGGTCCTCATGTTTGCAGGACAAACACTTTACCACCTGAACTGTCTCTCCAGTCCGCTTTTGAGATTTTTATCTCAAATTCAAAAGTTTTTTTTTTTTTTTTTTTTGTTTAGTTTTATGGAAAATATTTTCCCAAAGAAACCTGCTGACTGCTCCCAGCTTGGTACAAATTTATAATGCTTTCTGTTACTTACATGCCTTTGCTTTTCACTCTTACATCGATTGGTTGGTTGGTTGGTTGGTTGTGTGTGCTGCATACATGTGTGTGTTTGTGTATGTGTGCATTTATGGTTACACATATACCATGGCATCCATGTGGAAGTCAGAACAACTGAAGGAGGAAGTTCTCTCCTTCTGCTGTGTAGAACTAGCAATAGAATGTGGGCTGTCAGGTATTCTCCGCCAGTGCCCCCTCTGCTGAGCCATCTCGCCATCCTCTGCCTTTGCTTTTGAGCTTGAAGTTTGATAACTCACTATTTTCTCTGAATTATTTTTATTTAGTGGAAAAGGAGCTTCCACATTTAGTCCATCCCATCCTTTGTTGCCACTGAGGCAGAAACAGCAAAAGGTGTCACAGGCAGAGGACATCCCTGGTGAGAGCATGATTCTCTTCTATTTTCCCTGTTGTTACTTTTTCTTTGTTACTGTAGTAAAATAACCTTCCTCAATATTGAATGATCTTAATCTAATGTACCCATTTTAGTTAATAATAGCAGGATAATATTTTTTTCTGGTTTTTATTTTAAAGATTTATTTTTTTATGTATGAATGCTTTGCCTGCATTTATACCTACATGCCCGGAAAGAGCATCAGATCCCATTATAGATGGTTGTAAGCCACCATGTGGTTGCTGGGAATTGAACTCAGGACTTGTGGAAGAGGAGCCAGTGCTTTTAACCACTAAGGCATCTCTCCAGCCCTAGCAGGATAAATTTTAATTTGTACTGATACAGCTTAAAATTTATAGTCTTGTGGTATAAATGTCATTTCAAATCTGGTAAGTTCTGTGCAACATGCACAGAATGGCAGGTGTCCCAAGCATTCTGCACCGATTACACTGTACTTCACTTATTGGAGCTACTGGAAGTTGTATTCTTCTGGTTATCTGCTTTCCTGAGTAGTGTTGTGGGTTGAGTTAGGATTCATTACCCAAGAAATGGCTAGTACATGAAAAGAACTTCAAGGGGTACAGAGTTGTTTACTTACCATTGAATGTGCTTGTTTCCTCCAAACTGCAGATCAGCGACACAGATCGAATTCTCTAACTCGGGTTGATGGTCAGCCGCGAGGTGCAGCAGTAGCATGGCCAGATAAAAAAAACAGGTGGGTGACTTGGAACTGTTTCTGTTCAGGTGCTCATTAGACAGCAGGTCTCCAGATGTGTCCAGGGAGCTGGCAGCCAGTGTTTGCACAGCAGTGCCGCCATCGGCTTGCTCTCTCCTATGCTCGTCCTCTCCTGTGAGCCCCTGGGTACTGCCAAGTGGCTGTGTGATTTGTGGTGTCCATCAGCAGAGGAGATGTGAGGGTCTACAGGTGTCAGAGAGGTCTCTAACAGCAGTGGTGCCACCTACACTGTGTGTCGTTATTGTCATGGTTCTCGTGGTGATACTTATTGTGGGTTTAAAAAGTGTCTGAGCTTTCATTTGTAGTGTGCTAAATATAGTAAACCAAGGCTCATTGGGGCCTTGGTTACTTTAAAGCCATATGAAGATGTGCTGGGAGCAAAATGTTCTTGAGTCATTCACTTAAAGTTACCTCTGGTTCTCTTTTGCCCTGGAGCATTTATGTAACCTTCTACATGGAAGGTTGGTACTCTCTCTCTCCAGACCTTGAACTCCTCTCCGACTTTTGAACAGTGGGTTTCTCCTCTTGTTTCAGGCCTGTGTCCCAGCCAACACCCTTTGCTCTCCATCACGCTGCCAGTTGTGATGTGGACCCCAGCTCTGGTGACAGTGTCAGCTTGGCCCGCTCTATCAGTAAAGATAGCTTGGCATCCAACATTATCCACCTGACCCCACAGAACCAGCCCCACCCTTCAGCCGGGAAGACCAGTGGGAAAAGCCTCCTGAGCAATGTCAACATTGAGGATGAGGAGGAAGAACTTGTGGCTATCATCAGGACAGATGTGTCTCCCCATTCTCCAGAGGTCTCCAGGACCTCACCTCAGGCCCCAGGCCTGGTGGCAAGTGTCAGGTCTCCCCAGAGACAGATTGACACTTTGGAGAGTAAGCCTGACAGTTTTTACTTAGAGCCCCTGATGCCAGCAGTGCTACGGCCAGCCAAAGAGAAGCAGATTATCACTAAGGAAGATGAGCGTGGAGAAGGGAGACCGAGGACCGTCATGTCGAAGAGGCCCAGTGAGGGCTCCCAGCCTTTGGTACGGAAGAAAGTGACAGGTAGCCATGGCAGTCGTGACCTGAACAGAACTTTCACCCCAATTCCTTGTTCAGAATTTGCTGCAAGCATTGATCCTGCCGAGGCAGGACCACAGTCAGCAGAAGCTGCAGGAGAAGGGCAACCTCCGGCCATGGGTAGATTCGATCCGTTACCTCAGGGGCAGGCTGCTGATGGCTTCTTCCTCCATGTAGGCAGGCCTGAGGAAGATGAGGGGAGGTGGTATGTTGGTTCACAGAGTCCCAGCTCCCACGACTCAGAACCCTGGACTATCCTGAGGCAGGACTCTGACTCCGATGTGGTAGATGTAGAGGATGCAGAGCAGGATTTCATTGGTGAGGACCATCCTATGGTTATCCCCAGATACGCTGGTGAGGAGGAATCAGCCAAACTACAAGAGGATATGAAGGTAAAGGAACACGAAGACAAGGATGATGCCAGTGGCCGCTCAAGCCCATGTCTGAGCACGACCTCTCAGCTCAGCAGCATGTCCATGGCGAGCGGAAGTGTGAAGATGACCAGCTTTGCCGAAAGGAAGCTCCAGCGGCTCAACAGCTGTGAGACCAAGTCCAGCACCAGCAGCTCCCAGAAGACCACCCCAGATGCATCTGAAAGCTGCCCGGCCCCTCTGACGACATGGCGCCAGAAGAGGGAGCAGAGCCCTGGCAGGCACAGCAAGGACCCTGCCAGTCTGCTGGCTTCTGAGCTGGTGCAGCTACACATGCAGCTGGAGGAGAAGCGCAGGGCCATCGAGGCCCAGAAGAAAAAGATGGAGGCACTGTCTGCACGGCAGCGCCTGAAACTGGGCAAGGCAGCCTTTCTGCATGTGGTGAAGAAGGGGAAGGCTGACGGTGCCCCACAGCCCCTGAGGCCCGAACACTTCACTAAGGAGTTCACACAGCACAACGGAGAGGACTTGGATGATGGCACGTGTAAAACTGAAGGGTTCCTTGTCAAAGAAGATCAGCGAGATCTCAGTGAGTCTCAGGATGTGGCGTTTGCACAGCTACATAAACCCAGGGACCCGGCTTCTCTGCATGATGGAGAGAAGCACAGAGTGATTTCTGCTGCTCTCTTAGAGGACAGTGTTGGCGAGGTGGATGTGAATGAGTGTGACCTGTCTATTGAAAAGCTGAATGAGACCATCAGTACACTGCAGCAGGCTATACTGAAGATCTCCCAGCAGCAGGAGCAACTTCTCATGAAGTCCCCCACAGTGCCAACCCCAGGCGCTAAAAATAACTGCCAGGACCAAAAGGTAAAGGCCCCAGTCCACTTTGTTGAGCCGCTCTCTCCAACTGGTGTGCCTGGCCACCGCAAACCCCCACGGCTTGGCCAGGGCCGGAACTCGCGTCCAGGAAGGCCAGCTGAACTGAAGGTTCCAAAAGACAGACAGCAGGGTTGTTCCCGGAGCAAAACCCCAACACCCAGTATGGAGACACTCCCACATCCTCGGTCTTTGCCCCCAAGCACCCATCCACGGTCACCCTCCGACCCAGGTGGGGAACCCCCTGAGAAGTGTCTCTTTGACAGTTATAGGCTCCATGATGAGAGCAACCATCGGACCTTTGTCCCGTCCTCTTGCAAAGATGCAAACATTGTATCAGAACAGATGAACCTTCAGGAGGGTCTGGAGACAAGTGTGAAAGAGGCAAGGCTGAGCTCCTCTGCCATCGCAGGCAAAGAACACACTCTCATGGAGGAGCCGCTGAGGAGCAAGGCCAGCCTCATTGAGGTGGACCTCTCTGACCTGAAGGCCCCGGACGAGGATGGAGAGGTGGTTGGCCATGAAAGCTCAGTGGAGCTTGGCGGAGATGGCGACCAGAAACCTGGGGTTGGTTTCTTCTTCAAGGTGAGTGAGGTGGTAGTGTGTGAAAAGGTCATGAGGTGTGCTCACATCGCCTTGGGTATGAGGATGTCTCAAGAACTTCTGTTCTAAACCAATTCCATAAAAAGCCGGGGAAGAAACATGTTTGAGTTTGTGGTCTACAGAAACCTCCATCCTCAGGGTGGAGGGTGGACCCAGTCAGATGTAGTCACAGGCAGCACATCCTAGAACCCAATAATTTTCATGAATCATGAAATACTTGATTTTCAGATGACGTTTTGGTCATTTAAAATTGTAAAAAATGCTCAGAACTTGAAGACTGCACAAAGATATCCAGGCCAGACATGACCTGCGTGCTGCAGTTTTCCCACCCCTGATACAGAAACCTGGCCACAGACAAGCTTTAGAAATATCTCTGTTTCTCCATCCTGCACTTTCTCAGAGATGAAGAAAATTATGGATCTGGGGTTTCTCTTCTGTTCTGACCATGTCTCTTTCCTCCTGACTACCACATGGCATAGTCTCAGCCTTATAAGATGCACATTTTATTGACATGTGTGGGGTGTGTGTGTGTGAGTGTGTGTGTGTGAGAGAGAGAGAGGGAGAGGGAGAGAGGGGGGGAGGAGGGGGGCAGAGAGAGAGAGAGAGAGAGAGAGAGAGAGAGAGAGAGAGAGAGAGCGAGCACGCGAGCACCAGAGCCTGAGGTTGGCATTGGGTGTCTTCTTTGCTTGCTCTTCACCTTATGTATTAGATGAGACTGGATGAGTTCAGGGTGATATGGCCATAGACCCTTATATATTGGGACAAGGTGTCTTACAGAGCCCAGAGCTTACCATTTCAGTTAGCCTGGCTAGCTAGTTTGCTCCACAGATTCCTTATCGCTGTCTTTCCTGCCTGAATTTGTTGTGGCTTCTGAGGATCTGAACTCAGGTCCTTATGCTTGCCCAGCAGACATTTTCTCTGCTGAGCCATCTCCTCATTCCCATTTGTACTTTGTGTGGTATGAGTGCAGTCACATTGGTGTGAGCTTAGTTTGTGGAGAAATGTGTGGTTTTGCAGGGAAACCGAATTTGTTGCAGGGCATGTGGAAGGTCGTCTAACCGAGGCTTTTTTGATGGCTTGGACTTCTTTCAACTGTGTCACAGTGTATGATCAGCTCATTCATTAGAGAGTCAGGGCCTGCTGGTGCATGGCTTCGGCAAGCAGAGGCAGACAGATCGCTGAGTCTGAGGCCAGCTTGGTCTGCATAGGGAGTTCTAGGACATTCAGGCTTACATGGACCGTCTCACCAAAAAAAGTCAGATTGTCTAAGTGTATGTTAAAGTCCATACTCGATCAAGGTATGCCTAGGTTGGCTCGTTTAAGGAGTTTGTTGTGCTGTCACTGACTACAAAGTGATGGGTTTTGTAGGATGAACAGAAAGCAGAAGATGAGCTTGCTAAGAAGAGGGCAGCCTTCCTTCTGAAACAGCAGCGCAAGGCCGAAGAGGCTCGTGCACGCAAGCAGCAGCTGGAGGCTGAAGTGGAACTCAAGCGAGATGAAGCCCGGTAACCTCTTCCTCAGCAGCCTCCAGCTGTGTCTAGCGGGAGAGCAGAGCTATCCGTCTAGATGGTAGACAGGGCCAGGCTGACCCACCCCAGTTGGGGTGGCATCTCACCGCCACTTCACTCCTTCCTCAGCCCTGCTGTTAGCACTTAGCATTTGCTGGCCACGACAGTACTCATCTGTGCAGCTCTCATGGCCGACCCTTCCCTTGGGTGATCCTTCATGTCCATAGCACCCTGTGAGTCCTGTTCTTCACTCCCCATGGTAATGATGAGGCTACCAGTGTGTAGCCCAGGAAATGAGTTGTCTGTGGTCCCAGCACTCTCCAGAGTTTCCCAGGTGACTCAGTCCCACCCTGCCCCCTTTCACCAGTGCCCTTTGCCCCTAACTCTCACAGCTCTAATCTGCAGAGAGCGCCACAGAAAAGCACCCTGGGGAGGGCTGCAGGAGGTGGGGCTGGTAGACTTGTCCCTCGGAAGAGTGCCTCTGACCCAGTCTTTTGGGAATCCATTTTGCTCTCAGGCGTAAGGCTGAAGAGGATCGGCTACGGAAGGAGGAGGAGAAGGCTCGGCGAGAGCTTATTAAACAGGAATACTTACGGAGGAAGCAGCAGCAGGCCTTGGAGGAGCAAGGACTTGGCAAGCCTAAATCGAAGCCTAAAAAGCCTCGGCCAAAGTCAGTGCACCGAGAAGAGTCCTGCAGTGACTCTGGAACCAAATGTTCCTCCACCCGTAAGCAGCCTCATCCCGCCCCCATGCTGCACTTGGTGTTTAGTGCTCGGCTTCTTTAGCTCACTGTAATTTCTCAGGACCTGTGTGAGGTGGGCAGGGTAATGGGGGATTATGCCTTCAAACAGGCTTGAGAAATTGAGACCAAATGTGATGCTTTGAAATGGCAAGGGGCGTCCAGGGTTTGGGCCAGAGAGTTGGCTGGGTTTGGCACAGGGAAGCTCCTTGTCACAGTGAGTTATGGCGTTAGGGATGGGACTGGTAAAGATCTTCACAGTTTGCTGATTTCTTGTTCCTGCAGCTGATAACTTGAGCCGCACTCACTCTGGCTCCAGCTTATCCTTGGCGTCTGCAGCAACAACAGAACCTGAGAGCGTTCATTCAGGGGGCACACCTTCTCACCGGTAAGGAAGCTATGGGCATCTCAGTGCACTTGCCAAGAGGGAGAGACCCTTCCAGATCAAAGCTGAAGGAGAGGTCTTTTATAACCAATTCTGCAGTGTTTAGGAGGAAACTCAGCCTACCCCCACCAGAGCTCTGTGACAGCTTCTATGACATCTTCCCTCAGTCTTTCCCCTTGACCTCCTGTCAGATGTGTGCACTTCTTGTCACACACATTTGTAAGTGTAGGGTGACACCTAGCCCCATCGCCCACATCCTTCAGTGTGTATCTCAACATCATACTTGTCAAACTGTCGGTTTTTTTTCTGATCCCCAATCTGTCTAGTCATCTATTATCTGTTCCCCATAACTAACACCCTGACAACTGTTGCCCAGCCTGGATCTGTTGAAATGCTGTTAATTCAGGACTGTCCTCCATCTTTTCTAATCTTGACAGTTTTGCAGCCCCACCACCACCCATGGAGTCACTTGCTCTCAGCTGGGACAACCTGAAGTGTGAATATCTTTTTCAGGCTGTGGGTCGGGCAGGGGCCAGTGCTTTTGGGTTATTTGGATCATTTAAAGTGGTGTTTTCCATTTTCCAACAGCTGTTACAACTTCCCCTTTGTGTTACAAAGTCATTTTGCAGTGGTGGGGGTACCTGTCCAGTGAATTTTCTGGAATTCAGGAACTCCTGCATGTTTCTGACTTCTTGTTGTAGCTGGGGTTCATGTGAGTGGTATCATGTATGGGCATCATATGAATGTTGTCTGTGAAGAAGCATTTTCCTGCCTCCTCAGTGTCTAGTGGCTTTTTGTATCCCGGACTTTGTGGAGGACTCCTGAGGAACTTTGAATGGTGCTCTGGTTTTGTTTTGGAAGTTGCTTACCCAGCTATATTCTACTCTCAGCCCTGTCAGCCTGTCTAGAGAGCATCAGCCTACCTTCTAAGCAGTTTTCTTAGTCTTCAGGCTTGGTATTTACTGTTCATGATACAGCGTCCCTGCATGTGTAGCCCAGCCCTGCCAGGAATCAGAGTATGGGTTTTCAGACTAGCCCCACTGTGGTCCCTCCTTCCCTGGGTCTCGTCACTTGTTTGACAGCTGTTAGCCACCTGTACTTGGTCCTTTGTTGCTGAACCTGCATCACTCACTCCCTGAACTCATGGTGGCACCCTCTGGCAGTGGCTAGTAAAAGCTTAGCAAGTCCTCCACCTTCACAGGAAAGCCCTGTTGCCGCAGTGCCACAGGCTTCTTGCCCTGGTGGTATGGGTGGCCATGGTGGTGGGAGAGAAATGCAGCCTGAGCACCTTGTCTTTTTCTCCTGCAGAGTTGAATCACTGGAAGCCTTACCCATCCTGAGCCGCAACCCCAGTAGGAGCACAGACCGAGACTGGGAGACTGCATCGGCAGCTTCCTCTTTGGCCTCTGTGGCCGAGTACACAGGTAACAGCCACCATCCTCTTTAGGGTATATTGCTCACAGGGGCACCCGGGTGTAACACTCCTTAAACTACATCTTTATTTTGGTCAAAAGGTCTTTTTTTAATTAAGTACTTATCCAATGTCAGAGCTGTATCTAACTGCCGGGTGTCCACAGCAGGGGCACAGTAGAGGCCCTGACCTATCCTCACATTTGTCCCAGCTCCCTGCTACTTTGAGAGCAGAGCTAAAGCGGATCACATACCCTGTGCACTTGGAACCTTACATTTTCAGGTTTCTGGGTTTGTTATTTACATGGTAAAGAGACTCAAGTCAGAAAATAGCTACAATTGCTTTAATATATTTTTTTTAATTTATAACTGCAAATTCTTTTGAGTAGATTTGAAGAGGCCCTTATGGTCTGTTTTCAAAATTGCATAGTTGTCCATCATCACAGCTTTTTTTTTTTTTTTTTTTTTTTGGTTTTTTTCGAGACAGGGTTTCTCTGTGTAGCTTTGCGCCTTTCCTGGAACTCGCTTTGGAGACCAGGCTGGCCTCGAACTCACAGAGATCCGCCTGGCTCTGCCTCCCGAGTGCTGGGATTAAAGGCGTGCGCCACCACCGCCTGGCGATCATAGCTTTCTGTATTTTACTTCTGAGAAAAGTGTTGCTCTTTTGTGTGTGTTTGACCTTGTTACTAATTTTGCAATTCTTGATCTGATTTTTTTAGGTCCTAAACTCTTTAAGGAGCCCAGTAGCAAATCAAACAAACCAATTATTCACAATGCCATCTCCCACTGCTGTCTGGCTGGAAAAGTGAATGAACCTCACAAGAATTCAATATTGGAGGCAAGTGTCAAATTTCATGATGGTTATATGTAGAATAAAAGGTGCTTGTAGATTACAAATTCTGTTAGCCCTTGGTGTTTGCTTAGAGGTATCTTCTCTTTCTGTTATTTTAAGCTACCCTGTTACTCAATAGACATGGAGTCTTTTTCTCCTGATTACCAGGGAGTAGGGCTTGGGCCCCCACAGAAGAAAGGAATTTTGAAAGGTAGAGAAGGATGGAGCTTTGATTCATTAAAAAGTCTATTAATGGTTTCATGTGGGACAAACCTAAACACAAGGCTTTCCAGCTGGGAAAGAAGATACTTCTGTTTGTGGCATCCATGGTGTGTGGGCCATGAGAGGACCAGGACCCTGGTCCAATGGCCCGTATTTCTTTCTGTGGGGGGAATATATGGTATGTTGTTTTGGTGGTGGTGTTGTTTTTATTTTGGTCCTGGCAGTGGAACCCAGAGCATTATATTTGCATAGTAGACAAGTCCCTTGCTATCAACCACACCCCTTCCCCAAGAGTAGGTTAGATAGTTTTTAAATGAAGAACAAGTATAAATAGTTTGGTCACTGAGGACAATGCACTTGAGACAGAAAGCAGGCAGGTGATGCTGCAGTCTGCTAGTGAGTGTCCATGGTTGGTGGCAGGAGTTACAGTGAAGGGTAGGCCTTGGGGGCACTTTGGGCACCTGAGTCACCAAGAACTTAAAAGTTATGTCAGGTGAAATATGACTTGTCTTTACTGTGTTGGTTGTCAGCTTCCCTGAGGCTGTCTGTGTCTGCTGCTACAGCCAGGTCTGGGTATAGTAGTTCATGCCTATAATCGCAGCACTTACAGGATGAGGCAGGAGGATTACTGTGAGTTTGAGGCTAGCCTGGACTGTAGTATGAAACTTTGTCTCAGCAAAAGAACAAGAAAAGATGTTAATAGCCTTACCAGCTACAAGGACCCAGAAGGCAGTGAGAAAGTAAAGGTCAAAGTTAGGGTTTGCCATGCTTTGTACAGTTGCGAGCTTTCAGTCTGGGTGGTGAGGAGGGAGGCCCACATCTGCACAGTGAATCCTTACAGAGTGCGGATATTGGTGAACAGTGTGCAGTGGCCCAGGATGGACAGGTACATTGAGTGGGCCACTCTCCAGGGAGGAATCATGATGATGGAATCCATGATGGTTCTGTGAGTAATGCATGAAGACAGCCACTGACTTGAAAGGTTAGTGTGAATGTCTGATTCCCATCAGATGTGGAGTCACAGGGTATGGGCTTCAGATAGGAAACAAGGGAACTGAAAAAGTACACAGCAGCAGCAACAGGGCCTTGGGTAGAGCTTCAGCCTGGGCCTTGTAGGTCTTCAGAACAGCTGACACTCAAGCAGTTGCAAGAAAGACAGGGCATGCAGTTTAGGGGCAGGTGAGAGAGGGACTCTGGGCTCAGGGTCTGGTCAGAAGTCCCAGGGCACTGGGCCTCTGCGGGCCAAGGCAAGACCAAGACTGGCTTTACCCCAAGTAAAATGGAAATGAGCAGAGGAAGACAAGAACTGATTTTACCTCTCAGAGGGTCAGAGGGAGCAGGTGAGTGAGGAGCAGGACCTCTGGAGGGAGCTCTAGGGGAGGAGTGTACTCCTGACTACCTTTAGAGGACAGAGCCTGGAAAGTGTCCTGATTTCATAGGGAGCAAATGAGACCTGAGTTAGGAGTGACTTTGGGTCCTGTCTGGAACAGAGGAGGCACAGTTAGTGGAGGGGAAAGTTAGATTTCTCTGAACAGTGTGCTGACCTTGGACAAGATGCATACCCAGGTCTCTGGATGTGGTCACCTGAAATTTAGGGATGAGCTCTAGCATGGTTCCTTAACTTGGCAGGAATGGAATTCTGGTAAGAGAAAGCTATGAAAGCAAATGCCCCTATTTCAGGGGGGTTATGAATGTGTTGCTGGCCTTGGGGTATAAGACAAATACACAACACTGCTCTGTCTTTCATCAGAAATGATGTTTTCGTAGTTACAACTAAGCCCTCTTCCTTATTTGCTTGTTTTTAGTAGTAAAATTGGTACCTCCGGAAGAGCTTGTTCCTTCCCTCCTGCCAACCCATCCCCCATCTCTCTTCCATTCCCCCTCTCTCCTTCCCCTCTCCTTTTGTCTTTTATTTATTTTCATATATAATTTTTAAATGTATTCTTTGAGAATTTCATACATGTATACAGTGTATTTTGATTATACCCACCTCTTTCTCCCCGCCCCCCCATTCCATCCCAATTCCATCTCTTCCTTCTCTTCCTCTTTGAATAACCCACTGAGTCTAATTAGTGCTTCCCATATGTGCATGGCACAACCATCTGTAACTGATTCCGGGGGATCCACTACTCTCTTTTGGCCTCCTTGGTACCAGACACACATGTGGTATGCATACATACATACAAGCAAAACACTGATACACATTAAAATTTTTTTTATTAGAACAACACATGGCAGTAGTTGTGTAGCCTTATATCTGGGTCTTCTCTTCTCCTCTGATGGTATTCATGTCTGTCTTAGTGTTACACCATGACAAGAATGTGGCTTTGGAGTGTGTTTTGAAGTCAGGTAAGGGGTACCATCTCTTCTTTTTGCTCAGGATTGCTTTTCTATCTAGGGTCTTTGGTACTTCCATTTGAATTTTAAGGTTATTTTTTCTATTTCTGTGAAGAATGTCACTGGGATTTTGCTTGGAATTGCATTGAATGTGTCGATTGCTTTTGATAGGATGACCGTTTTCACAATAGTAATCCTACTAGTCTATGAGCACAGGAAGCCTTTCATCTTCTAGTATTTTTCTCTCTCTTTCTTTGGTGTCTTAAAGTTTTCATTAATAGAGGTCTTGTTTTTTGTTTGTTTGTTTTGTTTTATTTTCTTGAGACAAGATCTCTCTGTGTAGCCCTGGCTGTCCTGGGACTTGCTCTGTAGACCAGGCTGGCCTCGAACTCAGGGGTCCTCCTGCTTCTGCCTCCTGAGTGCTGAAATTAAAGGTGTGCGCCACTAGGCCAGGCTTAGAGGTCTTTTACATCCTTGGTTAGTGTCGTTCCAAGGTTGCTTGTTTACAGGCTCTTTTTTGGGGGGGGGAGGTTCTTTTAGGAGGTTCTGTGTGTGTGTGTTTGTGTGTTGTGGGATTTTGGTGGGGGGGCAATTTTCAAGGCAGGGTTTCTCTGTGTAGCCCAGGCTGTCCTGGAACTTGCTGTGTGGACCAGGCTGGCCTTGAACTTTTGAGATCTGCCTGCCTCTGCCTTCCAAAGTGCTCAGACTAAAGTTGTGTGCCACAGTATTCGGCTGTTTTTTTTTTTTTTTTTTAATTTTTTTTTATAAAGACCATTGTGAATGGGATTATTTACTTTTCAGTTTGTTTGCTGCTGGTATATAGGAAGGCTACTGATTTTTGTATGTTAATTTTGTTTCCTGTCACTGTGATGAAAGAGTTTATCAGATCTAAGAGTTTTCTGGTGCAGTCTTTAGGATTTCTTATGTATAGGACCCTATCACCATGAATAGAGATATTCAACTTCATCCTTTCCAATTTGTATCCCTTTTATTTGCTTATCTTACTGCTTGAGCTAAGATTTCCAGTATTGTATTGAATAAGGGTAGAGACAGTGGGTACTAGGTCTTTTTCCTAACTTTAGGGGAACTGCTTTCTGACTTTGTCCCTATGTAAAACAATGTTGACTATAGACTGGAAATACACAGCTATCTTAGTTAGGGTTTCTATTGCTGTGGAAACACACCATGACCATGGAAACTCTTATAAAGAAAACATTTAAGTGGGGTGGCTTGCTTACAGTTCAGAGGTTCAGTCCATTGTCATCATTGTGGGACATGATGGCGTGTATGCAGACATGATGTGGCTACATCTTGATCAGAAGACAAAAGGAAGTGGACTTTGTCATGGGCCGGTATCTTGAGCATAGAAAACCTCAAAGCCTGCCCTCACAGTGACACACTTCCTCTAAGAAGGCCACACCTCCTAGTAGTGCCACTCCCTGTGAGCTTATGGGGGCCAATTACATTCAAACTACCACAACAGTCTTTGTCATCCTGAGTTATGTTTCTTCTGTTCTTGTTTTTTTTCAGGATTCTTCCTTCCCCTTCCCCTTCCCTCCCCTTCCCTTCCCTTCCCTTCCCTTCCCTTCCCTTCCCTTCCCTTCCCTTCCCTTCCCTCCCCTCCCCTCCCCTCCCCTTCCCTTCCCTTCCCTTCCCTTCCCTTCCCTTCCCTTCCCCCCCCTTCCCTTCCCCCCCCTTCCCTCCCCTCCCCTCCCCTCCCCTCCCCTTCCCTTCCCTTCCCTTCCCTTCCCTTCCCTTCCCTTCCCCCCCCTTCCCTTCCCCCCCCTTCCCTCCCCTCCCCTCCCCTCCCCTTCCCTTCCCTTCCCTTCCCTTCCCTTCCCTTCCCCCCCCTCCCCTCCCCTCCCCTCCCCTCCCCTCCCCTCCCCTCCCCTCCCCTCCCCTCCCCTCCCCTCCCCTCCCCTCCCCTCCCCTTCCCTTCCCTTCCCTTCCCTTCCCCCCCTCCCCTCCCCTCCCCTCCCCTCCCCTCCCCTCCCCTTCCCTTCCCTTCCCTTCCCCTCCCTCCCCTCCCCTCCCTCCCCTCCCCTTCCCCCCTCCCCTCCCTTCCCTTCCTCAGATTTATTTATTTTAAGTGTATGTATGTATGTGTATCACATGCGTTCCTGGTGCCTGTGGAGGTAAGGAGAGGGCATTGGATCCCCTGGAACTAGAATTAGAGATGATTGTGAACCACTGTGTAGGTGCTGGAAACCAAATCCAGGTCCTCTGCTAGAGCAACCAGTGCTCTCAACCGCTGAACCATTTCCAGACCTTTTTCAGCACTTTTAACATGCAGGGATGCTAGATTTCATCAAAAGTCTTTTCTGTGCCTATCAATGTGACCTGTGATTTTTGTCCTTGAGACCACTTACATAATTTAAAACATTTATTGCTTTATGTATATCGAATAATTCCTGTATCTCTGGAACAAAGCCAGCTTGATCATGGTG